CCCCCCCCCCCCCCCCCCGAGGATGCCCGGGGCTCTGGGGCCAGCGAGCCCTGCGTGCTACCTCCAACCCCCAGTGCCATGGGGGGCAGGAGTCTCCCAATGCCCCAATCCGGTTGTGCCGCGCAGAGCAGAGCAGGGAAGTCATCCTAGGGGGGCAGCTTCCACACCGAACCCACCGCCCCCCTGGGGCTCAGCCACTCACACTGCCCAGCAGGGGGTAGCTACGCCCCCATCCCCCAGGTCCTTTCAGCATAAGGGCCTGTCCACCCGCAGCATCCCACCGGGCCCTCAGCCTGCCTGCTCCTTCCCACCACGGAGCCCGGAGAACCCACTTGGGGTCTGATCCGCTGCCAGAGACACCGCACAGCGAGCGCAGACCCGAGACCCCCACCAGGACCAGGGCAGTGGGGACACTGGTGCCAAAGAGAGGGTGGCAATCTCCCTGCAAGAGGCTCTGGCAGCCACCCTGGGGAAGCAAGGCCGTGGCCTGCTCAGCCTCCTCCCCCCCCACAGCACCACGTGGTCCCTCGCTTGGGGCCTATGTCCCCAGACAGCTCAGCTCCCCCTGCTGCCAGCCCTCACGATGGAGCCTTTCCCAGCAGGGGGACGGGGACGGCGCAGGGGGCTCATGAAGCCAGGAGGGTCCCAGCCAGCAAGCAAGCCCCTCAGAGCCCCCGGGGCAGAGCAACGGCCCGTGTTCTCGGCTAGCGAGAGCCCAAGCCAGCAGATGAGGAACAGCTCGGCCAGCCAAATGATTCCATTCCCCATGTCCTCCCTGCCCCCTTCCAAACCGGCCCCAAAGCGAGAGACAGCTGCAGCTTATAAGGAATGTGAGGGGCCCTGCCAGGGACTCTGGCGAGGGAAACCAGGCCTTATATGGCCATGGAGGCAGAATCAAATTTTTATCAATGAGAGCGAGAGCATGGAGACGCCGAAGGAGAGATAACAGGGCGAGGGGTTGCGGGGGGGGTATGGGGGGACTGCAGGGGCAGTGACACCTGTCACCCACCCCCCCACTGAGGGGAGAGCCGCTCTGCAGCTCCTAGCCAGTGAGCCTCAGGTGGGCAGGGGACTGCAGCCCTGACCTTATCACAGCCCAGGCCGGGAAACGATCCACCCAATCATCACCCCAGGGAAACTGAGGCACGGCCTCACCACAGGGAGGGGGGCTCAGCTCACAGGGGCAGGGCCAGGGAGTGAAGGAGGGGGTCCAGCCCCCAGGCCAGCAGACTAGGCCCTAGGAAACTTTGCCAGGAAACCGCAGGGGTGAGTCCCCCCCCCCAAGATCTAGCAGGCAGCCCCAGGTTGGCCCTGCAAGCTCCCCAGTCTGGGTGGCAGGGGAGGAGCCTTCAAGCCGATCCCTGCTGCAGGGTGGTCCCCACACTGGGCAGAGACCAGGCAGGCTGCCAGGGCCCGAGCCAGCCCTGCCCACGGGCACAGAGGAGAGGGGGTTACCTTCGTCTCGCCGCTGCTGTCGGACTCAGACACCTGGTAGGTGAGGTCAGTCTCCTCGAAGCCCGTGGCACTCATGCGCTGGTCGGTGGTGGGGTCGGACCGGGGGGGTGAGTCCGGGGAGTTCAGGCACGTCTGGATCAGCGCCTTCCCAGTCTCGCTGGTGATCATGGGCTGCAGCTTCCGCGTGGCAAACGTGTACACGTGGCCCGTCTCACTGGCAACCAGCAGCAGCACCTGAGTACCCGTCAGGGTGGAGAGCTCATAGGCCTGCAAGACAGCAGAGAGCACGCCGGTCAGTCACGGACACCTGACATGGGGCACGGCCACAGGCCAGGGCTAGCGCTCCCCCCACTGAAGATGCCAGCGTTACCTGCCTCTGCCTTCCCCCTGCACAAAGGGGTCCCCCAGCAGGGTCCAGGTCTGTAGGTGCCACTGGAACCCCCAAAGTCCCCCCTTCGCGATGTCCCCTTCGCCATCAGGCCTCAGCCATGTCTGGTGTGCCCCATTGCTTCCTCCCACGCCTGCAAGCCATACACCCTGAACTCAGCCGGGCAGCCCCCCAAGGCCAGTCATGTGGACGTCAGTGCTGCCCCCCAAATCATCTCCCAGGTCAGCTGTTCTGCCCGAAGCACCCCCCAGCATCCTCTGCATCAGGGCCCTTCCCGGCACCGCCCCACCCCACTTCTCTCTTGTCACAGCATCGCCAGCCAGCCTCGATTGCCTGCCTGCTCCTGCCAACGCCTTCGCAGTGTCCTGAACACTCCCCCTTACCCCCGCAGCCTGAGGCCTGGCCCCCGGAAAATCCCAGGCAGCTTCTCCCAGGGCACAGCTGCCATGGGCAGAGCTCGTCCAAACCTCACCCCCACAGCCAGATTGCTACCAGGCTCTTGGGCAGTGCCCGTCTCCCCCTGGGTTTGCACAGCACCAGTCCCACAAGGCCTCTGGGCTGCCCTGGGCTCCCCAACCCAGCAACAAGCCAGCGCCCCCAGCCCATGGCTGCGCACAGCCCCGGCAGCGGAGAGCTACGTTCCACCAGGGCTGCCTGGCTTCAAACCCTCCACCCACACCACAAGTGCCCCCGGCCAATCCTCCTGCTGCAGCCGGCGACAGGCGGGGGATCCGCCCTGCCCAGCAAAGCCAGAGCTCCGGCAGCCTCAGAGAGGGAGCAGGGCAGGCAGCCCTGACCCAGGCAGGAAGGGGGCCGCCCCGCTGTGAGGGAGATGGTCCCTTGTCCCCAGGGCAGGACCTGCACCCAGTGGGGGTCCTGTCTGTCAGCACAGCAGGGCACAGGGTCCCTGCAGTTCCCCAGGAAACCCCCAAAGCCCAAGCGCACGGGGCCAGGGATGTCTGCCATCCATCCAGGCGAGCAGGGTTCTGGCCTGCAGTGACCTGCGGGGGTCTGGCCTGCATCTCTCCCGGCCAAGGCTGGGATGGTTCCTGGTAACAAGAGGCCCCGGAGTGAGCACGTATACAGTCCTGCACCTCAAACCCCACTGCCATGGAAGTCAGCCAGCAGGGCGAGGGCAGGGCGACGGGCCAGCGGGCCACAGCAGCGCTCGGCTACAGCGTCCCACGAGCAAGTGAGCCCCCGACACTCATCCTGGGCCGCAAGTGCTCATAGGCAGAGACTGTCACACCAAACCCAGCACAACCCAGACACAGCTGCTGGGGCCCATCCCTCCTCCAGGTCGGCAGGCTGGAGCCGAAACAGGACAGCGCCCCATGTCATTTGCTGACCACCGCCCCGTGGCGTGTCCAGCTGCTCCGGGTACGGCACTCGTCTCCCTGCCACCGAGGATCCGGGGACGGCAGGTCCCCGCTCCCAGCCACGCTGCCAGGCGCCTGTTACTCCCCTGGTCCAGCTGGTGTTTGCAGCCCCCCCAGTCAGCTCATCGGCGCCAGGCACCAGCACCCTGGCAGGGCACAGAGGCGTCAAGCCAGGCCCAGCACTGACCCCTGCTCCCCCAGGCTGCCCACCCATGTGGCCCTCCGAAGTGGGCGAGAGAGACAAGGGACAGCTCAACTCACCACCTCAGCATGCGGAGCAAGGACCGTGCAGGCACCCCCCGGGGCTAGTGGGCACACCCACCCCCCAGGCGAGACTGGCAAATTGCTGCTCCGGGGCTCTGCAACACTTGGGCCAGGCAGAGCTCCCCCCAGAGGGACCGCAGGGACTGGCGCTACGCTCTGCCTTTGCGAAGGTTAGCCTGGACCCAGCCGACGGGAGCACAGGCTGGCCACTGGCCTTCCCCACCACGCACCGAGCAGCTCACATGGCCAGCCTGCCCTGGGCAAGAGGGGGAAAGGGGACAGTCCGGCCAGAGAACAATGCCTTCCCAAGCCCTAGCCCCCACAGGGAAGCTGCCCGCCCCACCCGTCCCAGCCAGAGCCCCCCGAGGGAACAGCAGCGCTGTCTCAGGCCCACGGCCAGGCACACAGCACCCAAGGATCCAGGGAGCGCCCACCCCAGAAGCAGCCCCAGCTTTCTGAGTAGGGTTAGTGAAATCAGGCCAATCCCTGGTGCGGGCTCTCAGGGAGTGGTGACAAACCCGTTCCAGGCCGGTCAGTTACACCGGCGCGACTGCCACACCAGGCTAGCGGGGAAGAAACCCCGTACTGCAGGAGGTAGCCCCCTGCCCGCCCCCCGGGATGCTGCCGCGCGCCATACAGCACAGCCCCCGCCGTGCAGAGCAATCACGGCCGGAGGAGACCGTGCCGGGGTCTCGGCAAAGCACCGTTTAGCAGCACTTCAAGGAGGGCCTGTTAGCAGCTGGCTCTGCTTCCACTGACCCTGCCAACTCCGCCTTCCCCACCCCTCCGATGGCATCACCTGCCCCCAGGTGCCCTGCGTGCCACCAGCCAAGGAAGGACAAGGGGGTGCTGTCAGAGGGTAGCCAGCAGTCAGGTGCACCACCTCCGACCATCCCCAGCAACGTTACTGCATGCATCAGTGGTACAGAATCAAAGCGGCTGGCTTCCGAAGGGACAGCCCCCAGCCACCCTCCTCACCCAGCAAGGTACAGCCCTGTTCAAGGGCAACCTGCCACGGCTCCAGATGCTTCCCAGCTTGTTACAGGCCCAGCAGAGATTCCCGGAGAGGCCTAGTGAGCCCCGACGCCCACGGCACAGCATGGCAGCCCCTCACAGGCAGCTCTCTGCCCCCGTCCGCTGCCCGGACCCTCTCCCAGCAGCTTCCCCTTCTACCCAGGAGGGATCACATTGTACTGGCCCAGAGGGCCCTGTACACACAGCATTTCTCAGGACACATGGGTACAGCCAGAGACTGGCGTAAGCCCTGAGGCAGAGGGTTTACAATTCTGGAAGGGATCTATCGTGAGGTAGTCATGGAGATGCCCAAGCCCTTTTCGAACCTGGGTAAGCCAAGGGTCTCCCTTCTCTGCCCCACTCCTTTATCGACTTTTATCACGTCCTCTCCAATTCGGCTCCTCCCTAGGGTAACAAACCGCTCTCCCGAGAGGAGCCCTCCTGGACCTTGATGATTCTCTAGTTCTGTAACCTCCCGGGAGAGATGATGTGGTGGCAGAACTACACACGATGCCCACGCGGGGCTGCACCATCTTCCAGCCCATTCCTCAGTCATCTGAATCTCGGGTCCGATTGTTTGATGGTTTTGAGTCCCCCCCACAATGATGCCCGGGTCCCGTTCCTCACTTGATAGTAGAACCCAGTGACCTGTACTAACAGGTCAAGTTTCCCCCTCTAACATCCAGTTCTTCGCATTTCCTGACACCGGAGTCGGTTTCCCATCGCGCTGCCTGTTCTCCCAGCCTGCCTCGGGCTCTCTGAAGCTCCTCTGGTCCCGACTCGCCTAAATAACAGCGTCTCTTCTGCAAACCTGCTACATCCCTGCTCACCCCCATTTCCCGGCTCAAATCAGTCATCGTTCACCCCCCAACTGGCTCAGCTCAGCCCTTGAGACGGAGGAGACGATGCCAAAGAGCCCGGGTCCCACGCTGATGTTTCCCAGTATCCTCTGGGAATTGGGATTCACACTGGAGTCCTGAGGAACATAGCCCCTCGGCACACTGTTCACCCGGCTGGCTGAGATGGCTGCACTCAGGTGATCTCTTACACCCGGTCACCTTCCCTGGAGTTGCTAGCCAACCAGGTGTAACGCTCCGAATGCTTCTCTAACTCCTGGCTGGCCACACCTCCATGTGCACAAGTGGAGATGCTAGACAGCTGATGGAGGGGGACCCACTCAGCGTTTCACTCCTCAGTTTGGATGGGCAGAGCATTCGGTCACACCATTATGTTCAGCGCAACAACCCATCTTCCCATACCTTTTTGGGAGAGGCTGGGCCACCACCTTAGTACCAATACTGCATTTTTGGGTTGTTCTTGCCCCTCTTGCTACAGTCAAGATCTCTTGATGCTAGGAAGCAAGTCCGCCGAGTAAGACAGATCACGTGTAAAAGCATCAAGTGAAGGCTGGACGATAACAGACCTGCTCTGGTAGAAACACATCTGGAACAAGGTGTTCTGTTCTGGACTTCAGAACCAGAAATACATCAAGAGTTTGGAAACTGGCAAGCGGGGGGAGGGATAGCTCAGTGGTTTGAGCATTGGACTGCTAAACCCAGGGTCCACTTGGGGATCTGGGGCAAAATCAGTACTTGGTCCTGCTAGTGAAGGCAGGGGGCTGGACTCGATGACCTTTCAAGGTCCCTTCCAGTTCTAGGAGATGAGATATCTCCATTATTTAATTATATTTATGGGCAAGCGGGCCTGACTTCCAAGGAAGGGAGCTAGAGCTGCGTCCAGCATGGCTTGGTGAACACTTTTGGGGGGGTGGGGGGGAGCAAAGCTTAACTCACTGTGTTGGGGGGGTGCGAACTCCGAGGGAGGGGATCTATTAGGGCTGTACAAACCTCCCTCTGGTCACGCCTAGGGACAAGCTAAGAGACCAGCTAGGCCAAATCACAAGATGAGCTCCCCAACAGTCAGGACTCAAGACTCTAGAATGCTCTCCCCAGCTGGGTCAGTCAGCGTCTAGATTGGGTAGGGCACTAGCGTGCGTATGGCAAGAATAGCCCCGCTCACGGGGTACAGCCCATTCCTTTCTCAAAGGGTTTCCGCTAGCGCGGAACGCAGTGCGCACAGCGAGTCTAGAACAGGAGAAGAGGTGATGATTTACAGAGCGTTCGAGTATTTTTTAGACGGTGTTGTGAATACTACTTAGCTCTGTGGGTGTAAACAGGATTTAGACCCCTTGAAAAACAGCTTCCCTCCTCCCGATCTAGGGGGAGCCCTGAAACATCACCAACACTTAACATGTATTTCCCTAGGCGCTGCATGTTGGCAGTTTAGTACCTGGCCAATAGTAGCCCAGCTGCGATATGACTTGTCTCCTTGAGCCAAGAGACTATCATCATCATCAGTCATGTTGATTACAGTAGGGTCTAAGGGCCACCCAAGAGTTGGCTCATGAGTGTATCTGGTCACCCAAGTCTCTCTCTAAGTATTTTCAGCGTGCCTGTCTCAGCACACTCAAACCACCCCCTCCTATTGACCCTACACTGGGCTTAGCCTCCATCCCACGGGGGTGCACTCTGCACCCCAACAGCCAGCCAGTCAGCCTGGCTCTCGCTACCACGCAGGTTTAAAGCCAGGCCAGGCCCTTATCTGGCCCAGAAGACCACCTTGGAGGAGAAGCGTTTCTGGTCCCTGCTTCAGAAGGGGGAGCGGTGACAAGCCCCAGCTGTCACCGAAGGAAGCCACCCCGAGTCCCTTTTCCACTCCTGCCCGGGCGCTCCCGAGCCCGGACCCGATCTGACCCTGGGCTGGCTCCCTGGGGTGTGGGGATCCTCCCAGGGGAGCACCCAGCACCTTCCCCAGCCGCGGGTCCAGGGTGCTCCAGGCCTGGGGGCTGGCAGCGGGGTTACTCTGGGCCCCCATAGCCAGACACTCCCTCACACGCCAGGTAGGGGGTCTCCCGGCCCCCCAGTGTCCCGAGCCGCCCCCACCCCCTCTCTGTGACCCCACAAGGGGACCCCCCCCCGGCGGCTGTGGGGGCCCCTCTTCCGCAAAGGCCCGGGCCTCCTAGCCCAGCCCCACCTTCCGCACGGGGGTGGAGTGTGCGCTCGCCCCGGATGCCCCCCGGATCCCGGCCCCCCCCGGCCCGGTACCTTCTTCATGATGCCGGTCTTCCGCTTGCTGAACGTGGTGTAGCGCCGCAGCTTGTTATCGATAAATTCCATCTTGATCTTGACGCGGCCCCGGGTCTTCTTGCCGGGTTTGGCCCCGCTCACGGCCCCGCTCACCCCGCCGTAGCCCCC